GGCCTGTCGTGAGCTATTGCTTAAGTATTTGTGTGTTAATTAAAAAAAAAACACTTTCTAACAAATCTAAGTTGATGAGAAAAAGCACAATAACGTATTTACATAACAAGCTTGGAATAGACCCTTCCTATTTCCTCTTATTATAAGCAATCTGAGGCTTCTGTTTTAAGGAATGAACTGCCAAACAAATACATTCAACCGTATGGAGAGCTGTGATTTGAGCAGTTCTTTCAACATTTATATTTGATTGATTTTGCTAACTTATAAGGCAATAAACCTCCAGTGAGTGGCCCAGCCCTTCGTATATTTTTCTGTATTCGACTCTCGGAGAGAAAAGTTTGGACAAACCTGTTTAACACAAAAAGTACACCTAAGGGCCATTGTGTAGTATTTAGGAGGGTCTTCTAGCATAAAATGTATTAAAATGTATAATTGTATTGTTATGTTCATTTGTGTAAAATCACCTGAAATGTAGAACATTTTTTTGCTCCTTAAATGATCCCTTCATATCTACATTGGGAGTGGTTCCCCTTCCACGGATCCTGCTTTGGTTCAACAGCAGCTCAGACAACATTCTATTCACATCACCTTTTTGCCGAAAAATGCATGTAGAACTGTGATAATATGAGTTTCATTGCTTGTTTGCTTCTAAAGTAGTAGGTAAGTAAGACTTGGTTTATAAAGCACCTTTTATGTAGACTTAAGTTATTTAACTAAGATAAATGATAGAATAATCAGGTTTTGTTAACGATTTAAAAAGGTAGATTATCTGAACAATTATTGCAACATGAAATTTGGACTTTAATTTATGATCATATACTGTAGCTGCAGAACTAATGGTTTCCCCTCAGCCTTAGCTGTGCTTTGTGTTTACTGCTAACGTTAGCATGCTAGCATGGAGGACATTGTAAGTGGATAGTAAATAGACTTTACTTATATAGCGTTTTATCCATTCTGTAAGACCCCTCGAAGCGCTTTCACACCTCATTCATACAGAGCAGTGACACACACACACACACACACACACACACACACACACACACACACACACACACACACACACACACACACACACACACACACACACACACACACACACACACACATCAGGAGCAACTCAGGGTTCAGTATCTTGCCCAAGGACACATCGACATGTTGACTGCACGGCTGGGATTGAACCCACAACCTTCTAGTTGAAAGGCGACCGCACGCCCTCCCAGCCACAGTGCTAAACATTATACCTGATACAAACATCTGCATGTTTGCATTGCCATACAAGCATGCTATGTTGTAGTTCAGTTCTTATAACCTCTAACAGATCTTACGCTGGCGTATCCGCAGGGCGTCCTGGTGATCTTCTCGATGGACTCCAGGGCGTCGAGGCCCAGCTGGAGATAGGTGTGGTCGCCTGTCGCCCTGAACAGGTACATGGCGCTCTCTATCAACTCTGAAACAAATGAAACACCACACAGAAAATCTTACTGTAGTGTATATGTGTTTTAACAAGCAGGGAAGTGGTCGGCTGCTGCAGAGAGCGGAGTCTGCCATACTTTAAGGTTTAAGAAGAATTACACACCTGAAAACGTTTATTTTATACTTTTGAATCATTCAGCTTGAAGTTATATCTAGGTTATTTTTTTAATAAGTCTTAATAAAATGTAACCAAAATAGAGACGCTCAAACCCTGGAAGTCAAACAAACCCATTAAAACCAACATTGTTTATCCTGTAGCCAGGCTTTAATGTAGAGCCATAGCTTCAACACTGTAGTTTCCACTACTCTCCACCAGACTGAGACATTTCTTATGTTTGCCCAAAGGTGCCAATACATGCTATTTTCTTAGTCTCCACTAGGGGCATCGCTGCTGTATAATGTGTTTGATTCGATGCATCAAAATCAACGTTGTTGCAAATAATTGAAGACTTAATTAAACATAAAATAATTAAGTGTTGTGGTGACATTATGTTAACAAACTAAGGATTTTAATTGTTTGATTGAATATTATCAGGACTGATGTTGGTTTTAAAGTAACTCAATAATATCATTATATACATTTGTGGCTGTTGTTTGGCAACGGCAGTAACAGTTTTAAAGGGAAGTGTTAACATGTCTAATGATGTCTCTGTGTGCTGATATTTTACACTCTTTATTTGCAGTTGATTGCAGGTAATAGGTGGGTGGTCTGACCTGGTCTCAGTGGGTATCCCTCTCTCTTGTCCACAGTGTAACCCTGAGGGATGCTGTAAAACTCTGGCAGACCTCCAAACTGTCTCCACACGGAGTAATAGTTCTGGAAAGTTCTCACTGCGCTGTCCAGGTTCCCCAGGAGAGACTGCAATCAATATGTATATTATTATGTTTAACCCTATGTTAGGAAAGGATTGCATGTGTTAGAAGTGAACTGTGTGTACCTGAAGACCGGGCCAGAAGGCCTCCAGAGACTGAAACACGGGCATGGAGACGGTCCCTTTGTGCATCTGGACCCACAGGTACCAGTCGTCAAACCGGGTGTAGTTCTGAATGGCTCGATCGTACTCTGAGAATACACATCACATGGATGTTAAAGGTCCCCTATGATACAGTTTTTCATAAATATATTACAGGTCTCAGATATATACAAGTGTTGGCTCCAAACACCAAACAGATCATTGCAGCATTACCCATAATCCCCTCTGTTTCAGCCCCGTTTCAAAAGTGCTGATTCTCTGTCTGTTACTTTAGATGAAAATAAGGAGCCACTCCCCACGCCCCTCTGAGAGACATTTGGTTAAAAAGAACACAATGGTGCTCTAGTGGATTTTGCATAATAGGTGACCTTTAATTTAAATGTGTTTAGCCTTTGTTTTCCATTATTTTTCCATCCGTCTCACCCAGGAACATGTTGAGCAGCTCCTCGTCCTGCAGCAGGATGGCTCCTTTCACCAGATACTCAAAGTAGGAGTCCACCCCCGCTCCGATACCGGCGTCCTGAGCCACCCACTTCTTAGACAGGATGTCAATGTGGTTCCCCACCTGGACAGAGAGACAGACAGGTGTCAGAAAAAGTCTTCAAATACTTTAGCTTTCTCCATTGAAACCTGTACTTCCACAGGTTTGTATTTTGATGGCTCTTATATGCTTTTCTGTACTGTTAATGTATAGAATCTAAGCTAAAAAGCTGTTTTTATGCAAGATTTAGCTTCCATACTTTGTTTAACCTCTCTTGAAGTTAATGAGAGAACTCCGTAGAGATTTCAAATGTCTTTTTTTAAGTGAGCCAAAAAAGACTGCAGATTAAATAAAAACCCACAGTTACAAATACAAAATCAAGCATGAGGAAACCACATTCACCAGATTACCAGTACCTTTCAAAATAATCATCATCGAAGGGGTCTGCCTTTTAAAATCTCTACGGAGTTCTCTACGGAGTCCAGAACAAATTTCCTTACGGGGACAATAAAGTATATCGTATCGTAATTTATTTCTTTTTTGTTTAAAAGCATTGAACAAGTTTCATTACTTCTGCAACATTTTCTATAAAGACATTGGAGAACACACAAATGTCCCTTTTACCATTTCTGGTTTCTATTATTTGAGATGACAAGCATAGAGAAGTCCTGATAACGCAAAAAGTGCTGTTTCTGGTACTTTCCATGCAAGGTTAAGACCCTAATAAAGCATGTGAGCAGAAGACCAAGTATTGCAATATATATGTAAACGTCATACATGTATACAGAGCTAAACCTCGCGGAAGTGAGTCAAAGCATACTGAGCAGAGGAATGCATTAAAGGGGACGACCTATCATGCAAAATGTACTTGTTGATGTCTTTTATACATAAATGTGTGTCCCCGGTGTGTCAGGGAACTCACAAAGTGTAAGAAAACAAAACCCTCTTTCTTTCCCTCCGTACCCAAATCTCTAAGAAACGGAGCTGATCCAGGTTTGCGTCCGATATGACGTAATATCGGAAATGTGGACCCACGGCACTATCAAAAAGTTGCTATCAGAAACAATGCCTGACTGTTTTGGACGTAATATGTGACCTGCTCTATCGAAATCAGTCGCATTGACCCGAAGACACATTTTGAGTTGTATACACTGTTGGAAAGAGGAGATTCCTAGCTTTCTAGTGATATCAGGATTGTTTTTGTACTCCAAATATTAAGCGAAATATGTCACATTATATAATGACTGTCACCGAGTCATCATTTTGAGAAAAAGGCCTTCAAAGTTTTCTCTTCTCTGGAATCCATCGATCTGATTGGTTATTAGCAAATGATCAAAATACTACGGAGGGAAGATATTTTCGTTTGGATTGCTGGTCTGGGAGAAGCTCGCGAGTGTGTGTGTGTGTATGTGTGTGTGTGTGTATACGTGTGTGTTTGTGTAATTTTGCGTTTGTGTGTATTGCGTTTGTTTCCCGGGGGTAACACTCACGAGAAACACCGGCT